AATCAAGGAGAGAAGCAACTTGGAATTAAGTAGAAACTTCCTGACATTGAGGACAATTAACCAGTGGAACAGCTTGCCTCCAGAAGTTGTGGGTGCTCCATCACTGGAGGCTTTTAAAAAGAGACTGGACAGCCACTTGTCTGAAAGGGTATAGGGTCTCCTGCTTGAGCAGGGGGTTGGACTAGAAGATCTCCAAGGTCCCTTCCAGCTCTGTTCTGATTTATTGATTGAGTTGCCAAATGGGCAATGGGGAAGAATCTTGGCCAGTCATCTCTGGCATCTACAAGTGAGGAGTTGCAACATAACTGAAATCGTTCAAATTGTGCTGTTCACATAATGACATAATCCCTGCCCTTTGCACAAGGCTGTCAGGACCTGTGTAAAGTTATTATTGCTTCTGCTGGAAGCATGCATTAGCAATTACACTAATCACACTAACAGATGCTCCTGCCTACAGGAAATTAAACGAGAATTCACTCATAGACATGAATACTGCTGTTTTTCTAGCGCTCCAGTGTTTCATCTGCCTTTAAATTAGACATATTTACGACAGCCTATAGGCTAATGGGCCTCCACCCACGATTTCGGGATAACGCTAATACTTTACAAAGTTGCTGTAGGGTTACTAAAATAAGGAAGCTGGATTAAGGACGCTCCAAACAAATCCGTAGATGGAAACTCTAGGCGTTTTATTAACTTTTCCTAGGGGAAACTGTTCTGCAATTCCTCATCATTTGTTTCTTCAGTAGTCACTTAAGTTCTCCTGTCTTGCCCTCTTTCTAAAAACAATTAGACCTGGAAACAGCCTTAATCCTTGTACATACCAGCTTTATTAGTAACTCTAAGCATTCCTAAAGTCTGCTTGCCTTATCAAGTCCTAATAATACCTGTCAGCCCCATTTCCTTTTAGCTTCACGGCTAAATTGCCCCAAAGCAATTTATCATATTAAGCCAAGTCTCCAGTCTGTGGTATTAAAAACAAAAATCCATTATATACCTGGCTGTGTTAGTAAAATCCAGAACTCGGTTGCTGGAAGAAAAAAGGGGGAAAAAACAGCCTAAAAAAATTGCTTTCCTTGACAAAATAGTGATGGTATTTGAAACTGTGGCCCAAAAATGGGTTTCTAAACCATGTTTGTAAAAGAACTGGTTAAATGTCCACTGGACACGTTACTTTAAATCAGACTAAATACAGACTGGGAAAGAGCAATAGGGTACTGGGTGGCATGCACTAGACTATATTAAAAAATAAAAATAATTCATACTGTACAATAACAAAAACGCGCAAAAAAGATTGACAGCAAAAACTAAGCCAAGAGAAGACCACCACAATCTCACAAATCAGACAACCCACAGGGATCCCTGCACAAATTGTAGCTCTGAGTAAAAGGGGAGGGAAAAATTTTAAAGGCTTGTCCAAATTAGGTGGAGGACATACAAATTTCCAGAGGATGTCATTTCAGAATTTGAAAAGAGGGCTAGAGAATTAGAAACTAAATCACGGGATCCCATTTATGGCGTGTGGAAGGGAATCAGGATTTCCGTTCATCTCCCCGAGGACAATTTAAGGGCTAGAAACTTTGACAACAATGGAGGGCTGGAAAGAGAATTGTTTAGCTTCAGGTTAAATTATTTTAGGGTTAACGGTAACAGAGTTGGAAGGGACCATGGAGATCATCTCATCTAACCCCTTGCTCATGCAGGAGACCTATACGATCCACCATCCTCTTTGGCATCTCCACCAATTTCAAGAGACATAACAGAGTTTTGAGGGCACGTGAAAATTTACACCCACTGTTTGCCCAATTTTTGATTTAGAACAGAACAGAACAGAATAGAATAGAATATAGAATAGAATATAGAATAGAACAGAACAGAACAGAACAGAACAGAACAGAACAGAACAGTAGAATAGAATAGAATAGAATAGAATAGAATAGAATAGAATAGAATAGAATAGAATAGAATAGAATAGAGCTGGAAGGGACCTTGGAGGTCTTCTAGTCCAGCCCCCTGCTCAAGCAGGAGAACCTATACCATCTCAGACAGATGAAATTCTAATCTCTTCTTTAAAATATCCAGTGATGGAGTGCCCACGATTTCTGGGGGTAAGTTGTTCCGCTGGTTGATTGTCCTCACTGTCAGGAAGTTTCTCCTTAATTCCAGGTTGCTTCTCTCTTTGATCAGTTTCCAACCGTTGTTTCTCATCCTTCCTTCTGGTGCTCTGGTGAACAGCCTGGTTCCCTATGCCTTGTGGCAGCCCCTCAGATATTGGAACACTGCTATCATGTCTCCCCTATTTCTTCTTTTCTTTAGACTGGTCAAACCCAAGTCCTGCAGCCGTTCTTCGTATGTTTTAGTCACCAGGCCTTTAATCATCTTAGTTGCTCTTCTCTGATTTTTTTTCCAAATTTGAAAGGACTCTGCTGTGCATGGACATAGAATTCGCTTAGTTATTTAGATGTCAACCTGAGCGGTTTTGGGCAATGATGAATTCAGTCATCATTGGCTCAATTTGCCTTGCTGTCTGTCCAACAATGCCTATTTCCATTACTTCAATCTCTCCCCAAGTCTTTAGAAAGTGAGTGCAGATGCTCTGCAGGATTTTCTCTTTATATTTCTTGACATTTGAAAAAATAACATTCATTGGACAACTGAGGGCACAAGTCGAACTAACAAGCCCTCCCTCACCCCCGGCTGCCAACAGCCTGTTGACTTGGGACAGCAGCCTAGAAAATAAAGCTTTAAGCCCTGCTCCACTGAAACCACTGGGCTATACTGCTGGTTTCAGTTGCCACAAAGTAAACACTGTATATCTATTTCTTTATCTTTATAGCTATCTCTCTATATCTATCTTTATCTCTCTATCTCGCCACTAATATTTGCTACTATTGCTATCTATCTATCTGTCTGTCTGTCTGTCTGTCTGTCTGTCCGTCCGTCCGTCCGTCCATCCATCCATCCATCCATCCATCCACCTACCTACTTACCTACCTTATCTATCTATCTATCTATCTATCTATCTATCTATCTATCTATCTATCTATCTATCTATCTATCTATCTATCTATCTATCTACCTATCTATCTATCTATCTATCTATCACCTATCAATCATTCATCAATCATCTACCATCTACCATCTACCATCTATCTGTCTGTCTGTCTGTCTGTCTGTCTGTCTATCTATCTATCTATCTATCTCTATTATCTGTCATCTATCTCTCTATCTCTCTCTATCTCTCTGTCTCTTGTCTTTCTGTCTGTATCTATCTATCTATCTGTCTTTGTCTATCTCTGTCTGTCTGTCTGTCTGTCTGTCTGTCTGTCTGTCTGTCTGTCTGTCTATCTGTCTATCTGTCTATCTATCTATCTATCTATCTATCTATCTATCTATCTATCTATCTATCTATCTATCTATCTATCTATCTATCTATCTATCTATCTAAAGGTCGATGGCATCCTCTTCTTTGTTTAAGAAAAAAATGAATAATGGTGCTTCCTCCCCTTGGAGAGAAACACAAGCAGATTGTCATGGCATATTTTGTGAGATTTCAATTGCAATTCTTGGCTCTGGGAATCACAGAACGTACCCACCCCCATCCAAAAGAGGGTGTAAAATGCCCCAATCTTTGCATCCATAAGGAGAAAAAAGAGAGAGTTGATGACACGTGCAAAGTCACACGCTGGTTAAGTGGCATTAATTTAAAGACATGAACTGGAATTTCCAGCCAAGCAGCCCTAAAGATTTCTTGCTGATGGCTGACAGGAAAAGACAAAGATCAATTGAACACTACTAATAAATTCAAACTAATATGTGATCCAACAGTCCTAGCTAATCTGTAAGACCCCAAAATCAAAGTTTTGTTTTTTTTTCCCATCTCAAACACAAAGTCCAGAAACAGTTTCCACGTAGAAACAACATTAATTGTGTTCTTTTCTTTAATCAAAGCAGTCAATTTAGCCATCTCTGCTAACTCCATCAACTTTTGCAGCCATCAGAATAATGGAAATTAGTCACTAGAATGACACGTTCGTCCATTCTCTTGACCTGGAGAAAGTTTCACTAGAAGCAAACCATCAGTGACAGAAAACTTTTGTTCCCAGTAACTTCTCTTGCACCCTGGCTCAATTCGTTTAATAATAATAATAGTAAAGTTGGAAGGGACCTTGGAGGTCATCTAGTCCAACCCCCTGCTCAGGCAAGAAACCCTATACCATTTTGGACAAATGGCTGTCCAGTCTCTTCTTAAAAACCTCCACTATTGGAACAGTCACCGCTTCTGGAGGCAGGTTGTTCCACTGGTTAATTGTTCTAACTGTCAGGAAGTTTCTCCTTAGTTCTAGGTTGCTTCTCTCCTTGATTAGTTTCCATCCGTTGCTTCTTGTCCTGCCTTCAGGCGCTTTGGAAAATAGCTTGACTCCCTCTTCTTTGGGGCAGCCCCTGAGATATTGGAAGACTGCTATCATGTCGCCCCTCGTCCTTCTCTTCATTAAACTAGACATACCCAATTCCAGCAACCGTTCCTTATATGTTTTAACCACCAGTCCCCTAATCATCTTTGTTGCTCTTCTCTGCACTCTTTCTAGAGTCTCAGCATCTTTTTTACATCGTGGTGATCAAAACTGGATGCCGTATTCCAAGTGTGGCCTTACCAAGGCATTGTAAAGTGGTATTAACACTTCATGTGATCTTGATTCTATCCCTCCGTTAATGCAGCCCAGCACTGTGTTGCCTTTTTTGGCAGCTGCAGCACACGGCTGGCTCATGTTTAAGGGATTGTCCACTAGGACTCTGAGATCCCTGTCACATTTACTACTATTGAGCAAGGTACCCCCTATACTATACCTGTACATTTGGTTGTTCTTGCCTAAATGTAGAACTTTACTTTTTTCACCATTGAATTTCATTTTGTTAGATATTGTTTCTATCACCCGATCCTTTTATCCTCAGCACCTCATGATTTAAGCCTCCAAAATCCTGGCTTGTTTTCAACTTACTGATCATAACAGAGACCGTGTTGGCACTGGGATTGAATGAGCAACGTCCTTTCCCCGATTCACACTTGGAGTCAATTTGAAAAACCTGCTCCTGTAAGAGAAAGAACAAACATGTCTGAAATGTGAAGTTTCATATGCCTGATCTGGGTCCAGTTTTGTCACTGGCGTTAAGATTAGCCACTGTAGTTTTTTGTGTTGCATCTGGAACAGAAAGAGCTGTGGTGGCCCAATGGTTAGAATGCAGTATTGCAGATTAACTCACTTGCCCACTGCCAGTAGTTCGATCCTGACCAGCTCAGGATTGACTCAGCCTTCCATCCTTCCAAGGTTGATAAAAATGAGGATCCAGATTGTTGGGGGTGGGGTTGGGGCAACAGGCTGACTCTGTAAACCGCTTAGATTGCTGTAAAGCACCGTGAAGAGGTATATAAGTCTATTACTATCTAAACTGTGGTGGCGCAGTGGTTAGAATGCGGTATTGCAGATTAACTGACTTGCCCACTGCCAGCAGTTCGATCCTGACCAGCTCAGGATTGACTCAGCCTTCCATCCTTCCAAGGTTGATAAAAATGAGGATCCAGATTGTTGGGGGTGGGGTGGGGGGCAACAGGCTGACTCTGTAAACCGCTTAGATTGCTGTAAAGCACCGTGAAGCGGTATATAAGTCTAAGTCCTGTTACTATCTAAGCTGTGGTGGCGCAGTGGTTAGAATGCAGTATTGCAAGCTAACTCACTGCTCGCTGCCAGCAGTTCGATCCTGACAGGCTCAAGGTTGACTCAAGCTTTCCATCCTTCTGAGGTTGGTAAAATGAGGACCCAGTTTGTTGGGGGCAATCTGCTGACTTTGTAAACAGCTTAGAGAGGACTATAAAACACTGTGAAGCGGTACAGAAATCTAAGTGCTATTGCTATTGCTAGCCATTTGACCTACTATCCACCCTTCCATCTCAGACAAAGGACGATGACCTCTGCCTATTTTAAATTATAATTCTGTCTTCCTCATGGTTCTAACATGTATCAAAACACTCAAAAGGATCCATGCCTTTAAAAAGTGGTGCAAAACGGTTGCGATAAGAGCATTTCACCCGGCAATGTTCATAAGGAGGTAATTTACAATTGTCCACATAAAAAAAAACAACAGGCCATTAAAAGCACACCACACACTAATGGGCTGTTACATCCCCAGTGAATAAGAGATGTGATGTGTTGAGTGAGCAGTAACGGTATTAGCACCTGCTCAAATTGTCCACAAAGTGGGGCATTTTGTAATAGGAAGGCCACCGCAGTTCCATTCTGTGATGCACGGTAGATTAGGAAGGTATCAATAGAGGAGAATATTTCTAGCTCAGTGTTGAAATGAGGGGTCCTGGGTACCCTCTGAGCTTGGTGGTTTTCATGCAAACGTGTTATTACCCAACAGGTAACATCTTCGGTGTTAGCTAGTTAAATAAAGAAACATCTGCAAGAAAACAACCAGCCTCAAAGAGCATTGAGGACTTCACAGATTAGGGGCATCAAGTTTTAGTTAGTTTTTCACAGTTTGATGCCAGCTACCATGCAAAGTAAGGTTATGATCGCACCAGACTCTGACTTTGGAGAAAACAAAATATATATATATATATATATATATATATATATATATATATATATATATATATATATATATAT